ATAGATCCCTTAAAGGTGCCCGTACAGCAGCCCTTCAAGGAACCCTATGTCCCATGATCCTCCAAGCATACCCCGAAAGATCCCTCTAAGGAACCCTTACATCACAAGACGCCTAAACCCTGAACCCTAAGATCCCAACAAGAATAAACGGAAGCCTCCACCCTTCTAGTACCCCTGAAGATCCCTTTCAGGAACCCTTACAGGGAACCCTCCTTGAACAGGAGCCTTCTGGGCGACGTTGCTCAAGCTTTGCGAGCAGTACTGCCAGGAGGCGACGATTCGTATGGCGAACATGTAATAAAAGTTGCAAGGTTTAAGGTTTAGGGTTTATGGGGTTATACGGGCTGGATAAAGGACACATAGCATTATTCTAGTTCTTATAGGTTTCTTAGGCCCACCCCCTGCCAGCCCCCCGCCCAGCAAAGAGACAGCTTTCTTGGTGTTATGAGCCCAGCAGTGGCTGGTGCTCCCAGAAGCTTCTCGAGGCATAAACACGCGAGAAGATTATCAATTTGCGTCTTTGTGTATCGAAATGCTTCGAATTGTTTCGACATGCTTCGAAATGTCTCTACTCAAAATCGCTCGTTTTGCTTCTCCGCGAAAACAGCTTGCCGAGGCTCTTGAGCCTTAGACACAAATCGAGCGACTTTGAGTAGAGGAATGTCGATACGTTTCGAAGCATTGCGAACCATTTCGAAACACAAAGACGCAAATTGATAGTAGCTTTGCTTGTTTATGCTTCGAGAAGCTTCTGGGTGCACCAGCCACTGCTGAGCTAGAAATACGTCGAAAGCTGTCGCTGTTCTGGGGGGTCTAAGGAACCCATGAGGTCTTAGGGCTCCTAGAATATCTACTCGTGATGGTTCTCGTGCTATTTCCCGGTTTCTGTGCGTTTGTCTGCCTCTCGCTGTGCCTTCTCCTGTCACTGTCTCTGGTAGTGCCTGTTAGGATAAGTTGTCGCAGGACACGTAGGATCTTTTGCCGAAGGTTTCGTCCATGAAGAGCTTTCTCTGTAGCTCCTCGTCACAACAGCTCTTAGCTCTCACTCTGTGCAGCCACGCCACTTGCTTGCACTTCCTGGCACCCAACCTTCCCTTACATGTCCGGATGTGGAGGTCCAGCCGGAGCTGAACAAGATGATGGTGGATGTTCGAAACGCCGAGGCATCGAGGGGCAGCCTGCAGCCTTCCAATTCCGTGTTGGCATGAATTCAAGCGGTTCGACAACCCTCGCCCAAACATCCAGACACCTCATGCTGAGACTTCGCATTTCACGGGCGAAGTCTGCAGAGGCAAACCTGCAAAACCTTCGAGAGTTGATGATACAGTAGGGACGCATCATTTCCTATTTCACGCCTCGGTTATAACCAGTTGTTGCAGCGAGAGCACACGAGGAGTGAGCCCGCCAAGGCTGACCCTAGGCCCTAAACCCATCTCGAATGCGGAACTATCAGTTCAATGATGGTTTCTGAGATCCTTTACGCACCGGGAGAGATGCAAAAGCATTTTTAGCCCACAACAGACCCTAAACCCGAAGATTCCGATACCATCATAGCAACCTCTTGGTTCGTTCAGAGGAATACACCAGTTCCATTCGCCCTTGGGGCCCGGATGCCCGACAAGTCCCTTGTCAGCCCTAAAACCTAAATCCTAAGCCGAAACCCTAAACTCTATCACCCCAAGCTGTAAGCCCTAAACCCTGTAAGCCCCAAGCCCGATCAGCACCAAGAGGCGGCCGCAGATGCGTTTGCTGCCGGTCACCAGCCTACAATGCTCGGTCAAAGTAGGGGATAAAGGGCTCTTGAAATCTGGAACAGGGTTTCTTCAAGAGTTCCCACTCCAAGGGCATATTGTCGGGCCTAGGGTTTCGAGCACAGCTGGTGGAGGGATTTTTGCGTCGGAATAACTCCCAAGAGTATTTCTTGTATTGCAATATAACATACCCCAAGACCCTCTTTTGACCATCCTTCTGCACCAACGACTACAGCAGAGTTGGTTCATGTTTCCAAGACCCCAATGCCGATGGTACCCAAAACCCTTAAAGCGGCAAACCCTAAATCCCTAAAGCATTTGAAGCCCTAAACCCCGAAGCCCCAAATCGCAAGCCCTAAAGCCCCACCAAACCCTACATCCTGAAACCCTGCGCCCTAAAGCCAACAAGTCTCAGGTCTTGGCCCTCGCCTAGAGGAGGCAAGATAGAGCGCACAGGCTCGTGAAAGTGACGGACGCACGGATGGAGCTGGAACTTGGAACTTGGTGCTTCAGGGGTTTAGGGCTTCGGGCTGATATTACAAGTCCTACAACAGCTTGTTGTAATCGACGTTTTTGGAGACTTATGTAAGGACATCATGATGAGCAGCCATGAAAAGGTAAATTATTTCTGCCGACGAGTGTCTTTGCCGTTTAGGGAGCGCGCAAGAAGCAAGACGCACGGTAGCTACTGAAGGGCCCAAGCATTCACCACAATGCAGTATACTACATTGCAATGTACTGCCAGACTTTTGCAGAGCCGCATATCGAAACGATGTGGAGGTGGAGGTTCTGCGCCACCCGGGTTAATCTCAACTGAGAAGAGCGCACCCTTCGCATGAGCCGGTCACTGTTTATCGCAGTGGACTCGAATCAGCTGCCTCACCCGCTACTTGGAGGATCATAGGACTTAGTAAGTAAGGTTATAAGTAATACGTACCCTAACTGGGGATATAAGAAATTCTAAGTATGATCCTCCCAGTATGGCTCCATGGCGCAGCAGACCCGAAACCCTAAACCCTAAACCGTAATCCCTAAACCTTAAACCCTAAATCGAGCAGTTAGCAGTAGCTCTGGGACATCCCCTCCCGGCGTCCCGCTTCGGTAGAAGGGCTCAGGAGCTTCGGCCCTTTCCTGCATCAAAGATTCGACTATAGCGTACAATATTATAAGATACAATAATATACCATAACTCATAAGCTATGATAGACTGTAGTATACTATAATATACATTGACTGTGCCATGGATGCCCCTGCTAGTGACCCATCAGTCCGGCTGTTAAGGCCAGTCCCGTGCGACGATAGACTGACGTCTGCCGCCAGCAAGCATGTACAGCGCTGCAGGTCTCGGCCTCGTAAGCAAATTGTGGTGGGTGTTGCGGCATTGTTTTCCTGCGAACTCGAGACCTTTCAGCAAAAAATGCTCTTGCTGCCCGGCTGGCACCAAATTCTTGGCAGGAGAAAAGGACTGTTCAATACCATGGCCGGTTTCTGTTTGCAGGGTCACCTCATAGCAATCAGAAAGTGGAAGGTTGCGGAACCAGCTGGCAGCCCGCGCCAGATGATGCAGGTGCAGGAGATCGGATGAGGGGGTCCGACCCGGATCGTGGTTCACTCGGCGTCAGAGATCTGAACATGGCAGTGAAGTACGCCAGTTAGCAGCTAGAAGTCCGGGCCGCTGAAAAATATAGCCCTGCATGCCTGTGGTCTGTCAGAGCTCCTGCTACTTTGCCCTTTGCCCTGCACACGGGAGGTGCTGGTGGTTCATGCAGAAGCTCTTAAGCGACGACTGGAGACGCAACAGGCTCGCCGCAAACGGACAGTTGGCATTGTGCCGCGGCTTCGGGGTGTTGGCCAAGGACACGCACGCAGCCGCCATGTTGTGTGCAGGCTGAGCGCGACAATCTTCGCTTTCAGGCGGGTTCGGGCTTGGGTCTTTGATGGTTGACGGGATTTGGACAGTTCTTCGGCCGCCACTGCGTGGTTGAATTCGGGTTGAGCGGACTTTTTAAAGGATTGAAGTACGACAGCGCAGCCGAACCGACCAGACGTCGTTTTTCCACCGGGGGTCTGCTTTGAAGGAACCCTTAAAGGGGGCTGCGAAGACTGAATCTGATCCTCTCCTGCACTCGGTGCCGCGCTGCCAGCTTCGGCTTCTTCAGCGCGACAAGTCTGAGCGGCAGCCCTCGTGGCTGGAGCAGCAGGTAGCGTACCTCGAGGCACTGGCTTTCAATGAATGGCAACGTCTGCATGTATGATACAGGGATAACGAGCTTCAGAAGACACATCCCTGGCACTCACCGTGTGGCGCCTCGTAACGGCATCATGGCAGTCTCAATGCTTCAAGTCCCACTTAACTGTCCACCTGCTCAGGCAGAAAATCGAAACAGCGCAGCCGTGCAAGACGAGTCTGATCGTGCCCTGATTGCAGTTGTTCTAGTGACAATGCTTGCTTGTATTTGTGTTAGCTTTATCATGGGTTAATCTGCATTTTCTCCAGGCTCTGCCGATATCAGGCTCTGCCTTTGTCTGATTGCCTGCCTGACTGCATCTCTCCTTTAGACGTTGTAACACAGATTCACATAGCATAATAAGAAATTTACCATCATCAGATACAATATGCTGCAATCGTGTCTTTCCAGCCGCTCTGTCTGCCGGTGTGTCTCCGTCCAGCATAAGGGCCCGGATGATTCGATTCGGGTTTGGGGGTACATCAGAGTAAGCTATATTGCGAAGACCGGTGGATTTCGGGTTTAGGGTTTAGAGGGGACAAGATTGGTAATCTTTCAGGCTTCGATGTCCATGGCTTTTGGGCCACAGTCGTGGCTGCTCGAGTCACTCTCCGTCGCAGTGCCTTTGTTCGGCTCTAACAACTCTTCAACCAGCATGCCAGGCGCATTCCCACACCCAACAAAATAGTAGACCACGACCCCTTGTAGCTAAAGCCTGAACCCATCACTTCTGGGTTCTGGCCCACAAACCAGCAGGTTTTTCGGATCCACAGACACGAACGAGGATGCTGCAGCGCACAAAGCCTCAAGCTGTTGTTATTTGGAAGCCCGAATAAACATCAATATTTTTCTGAGCGTCCCTTACAACATATTTTTTTCTTTATATGCCCCAAAACCGTCTTGTAATCAGTTTAGGCCTTGGTACTACACAACGCTACTTTAGACCCCTTCTAGAGCCCTTGAAGGGGAGCCCTTAAAGGAACCCTAGTTTAATTATGAAGGCCCTTACAGAAGCCTCCAGGCCTCGCGCGGCGGCTTCAAGCGGTGGAGGCGGCTTTGGCCTGTGCCCCCAGACTTTTGTCTCCTTAGGAATCTATGATTTTTTGGTGCAGATAAAACCCAAGAGAATGTTCAACATCTTATTTTATTATGGTTCTAAGGGGGGTATAGGAGACGGGTGGAGGACACTTACCTAAACCCCCCAACTACCCTCTACGCAAAGATCCCAATTCCCCTGAACTAAGGATTATACCTTGAATTACAGGGGGCTTAATATTGTGATTTATGGTTGATTCCTTAATTAAGGCAGGGTACTTGTGGGGTCTTGGTAGGATTTGGGGTTACGACTTAGGGTGTAAGGGTTGAGGGTTTAGCGTGTCGAGTTCAAGATTTAGGCTTTGCCCAAACCCCCTAAAGTCGGTAGAATCATGGCCAATACCTACAAAAGGCCAGTATTCTACATAAATTTTGGGGTCCAGGTATAAATCAAGCCCTAAACCCCTAAACCCTAATCCCTAAATTCAGGATGTAGGGTTTAGTGGCTGTGGGAGCTTCAGGAGCCGAGCTTGTTTCAAAGTCTCGGCACGACCTTGGAAATGTGAGAAGCGATCGCGCTTAATTCGGAAGCCAAAAGAATGAGCAATATTCCCTTCTAGTCCGTACATAAGACTATATGTATATCATACTATAATACGCACCAAACCCCTTTAAAATCAGCAAGGCTCCTGTATTACAAACGGCTGAAGTGGCATGCTCTCTGAGGCCGAACTTGATGCCGAGCCATCTAAGGCTCGCCTGCAAGTTGAAATGTTCAAGAGAGTAGAGAAGCCAACGCTTTCTTCAGCAGATATTCGGCGAAGCTTGTTGCGATCTCATGTAAGACTTACACAATACCAGGCAGTGTGCACCGGTGAGGAAGCGTATGAAGCAGCTGGCCGGCAGGTGAAAGCTGCTGCTGAAGAAGCGCAGGTGCAAGAGGAGCTCAGCGACGGGTCTGATGGCAAGTCCAAAATTCTGTGGATGCTCTCAACCATTGAATCTTTCTGGCTGGGCGGCAGCTTCCTTACATACAGCAAAGAGCATTTAGTGGTGTTGCGTAGCACGGAAGCAGGCATGCTTTGCGATGCAGCATTCATCATTCAAGTGTTGTGCAGGCTCAAAGCACGTGGGCACATGGTTGTGCTGCATGACCCGCTGAACCCGGGCGTGTCGACTTAGTCGGAATGGCGCGTTCCCATGGATCGAGATGACGTCGCATGTCGCAGTTGATTGAGTGCCCTGACTACCTGTACAAGCATACGGCTGCTGCAATCTCTCCAGTCAAACTCTATGCCAAACTCCTTGAAAGCCACACGGTTCTGAAACTCTCTCGTCCTAAAGTGGGAAGTGGATTGTGGAACGGGAGCTACAATGCTTCTTGTTCCATGGTCGGCTGGCTTAGGAACTACTGGCTCTCGATACTCCTTTCCCTAGGGATCAAATAGCCCAAAAGCCTTATATAGCATGGTCTTGGGCCCAAAAGCCCAAATATATACAGAAAAAGCAACCTGAAACTCTAAGCCCTGAACAAGTCCTAGGCCTTGAAACCTCCTAAACAAACACCAAACCCTCAACCTCCTACAAGATCCTAAGCCCTAAATCCCGAACCAGCTGAGCAAGTCTTCTTCGGAGAAAGGGGGCTAGTGCACTTTAAAAAAGAATCCGAAACCAGGACGAAGACGACATCAACCTGGCCCGTTGGGAGTGTCGCAACGTCGAGCGACGCCTGGAGCAGGTCCCAAGGGCATCGCAAGGGGGTTGGGGTTTTTTCAAATGTTCAAGACTTTAGGATTGTGGGGTGTTAGGGTTTTGTGTAGGATTTTAGGAACTTCAGGGCTAAAACACCCTTGACCCTGAATGTTCAATTTCGGGTCCACGCTTTATGGTTTCAGGTGTAGGCTGGGCCAGGTTGGCAAGCGGAGGCTAGCATTGTCGGTATTGTCAGTTTTTGCATCGACGACGGCTGATAGTATTGCTATCCGAGAGGCTCCATATATACTACCAATATGGAATTTGGTCCCCCAAAACCACGACAAGCACATTACATCATGGTAGTCTGTATGAAGCCACTGGAGCCTTTGGTAATTTCACCACCGCCACCTCCACTGCTGTCACTGATCGCTCTGATTCCGGCTCTTCGAATTGACGACTCTTACACCGTATCACGCCACCGTTGTTACGTCTGGTCCCCCCCGAAGCAGCAACCACAACCCCGCCTCCTCCTCGTCCTACTACTACTACTACTGCTATTACTCCTACTACTCCCACTACGCTCACTATTACTCACGCTACGCCTCGCCTACTACGACTTTTGCTGCTACTATTCAGTTCTACGACAGCGACGAGGAAGGCCGCCGCAACCTTCGGCATCGTTTCTACCACTTGCCAGTACGACAAAAAAGAACAGCAGCTGCAACAACCACAACAACTACAATGATGATGATTTTTCTGGCAAGAACTTGTCAACTCCCGACTCGTCCCCACGGTATGGTTTATCCTATCTGTCCTGGCTTGACGACACCCATATCGACCCGCGTACACGAAGAGGCCCGCAGCTACAACCGAGCTTTGATGGAGGAGCTGCTTGTTGGGCTTGACTTCAGGAACTGACTTCTTATAATATCCCTTCTGGTAACCAACGCCTCGAGGTCACCCCTAACCCCAATAGTGACCACCATACAACCCCTTGCAAGTGCTGGACCTGGCAAGCCCGAGCTGTGGTTCCTACTTCGACCATCCTTTCGAAACCTGGTGCCTGTAACCCCAACATAGAAGGACTCATATAAGGAACCCCAATACAGGCCCAAGGTTTCTTAATCAGGTTCCTACATTAGGTTCTTTTTGGGCTCGGGCTGTGCTCCGACGCATCTTCTACTTCATGCAGCCATGAATGTTCATTCATTAACCGGGGGGTTAACTGTTATCCGTGGCATCTCCAACCCGTCCTCAAAGCATTAGGAACACTGGCATGCAGGATCTGTGCAGGAAGCGGAACAGAGACGAACCGCTTGTGGCTCAGACGACGGCATGGCCGCAGCTGTGCTAAAGGCTGCACAGCACATGCAACCGCCTTCAGGCATTTGCACGGCGATGCTTCGAGTATGTCGGAGTAGCCGCTACGGGATCTGGACAGACTCTGAAGCTTGTCAAGTTCGTGTAGGGAAGGCTCGTGTATCCGAGTAGAGGTTTGCATGAGACGTGTGGCAAAACTCATTGGAGCTCACAGATTATTAAATTACTATAGTAGACTTTACTAGTAGATTTAATTCTGTTATAATTTGACTTTACTGGCTACTATAGTAGAATGTAACACTGTTATAGTAAATACACCGTAGTATCCACATCTCGCTGGCACAAGAAGCTTTATGACAAGGCCGGAAGAGGCATCCGCGGAGGAGGAGCGCAAGAGTCGCCTCTTAAAAGCCGTTCTTATACCGTTGATGATGTAAAATCCTGGGGTTCCTTAAAGGGGATCTATAAGGATACGTTTAAGGATGTAAACCCTGCATTACCTTCATGACCCTAGACATTGGGAATTATGGTATATGACTGTTTGTGGGTAATGCATGATTTATATCATCAACCGATCTTCTCATAACAAGCCCCGTTTAAGTATCGCTATGGTTATCAGGGTCGGATAAGGGTTCTAGAAGGGTTCTAGCAGAATGACCCCTTATAGCTGAGGGTTGAGAAGCCCTCATAGTCACCTTTGTCATTGGTTCTTGGGCTTTTGGAAGGGTCGTATCAGGGTTCTGTGAGTACTACCTGTCAGAAATTGAGGTTTTTATCAGGGATTACATGAACGTGAGTCGCATTCTTTCGATTTGTGTTTGGGCTGTTTCGTGGGATACGACGATACGCCACATATGGCTTATCCAAATATAGCTGACTCTTATGGTATATTATACGTCAACACGCCCAAATTATGGCAGATTAGGGAAAATGTTGAGGTCCCGGGCTGGAAGGCCTCAGCACCTCACCGGGTGGCAGCCCCACACCTCTTCCTTCAAAAGGATCGGAAGAGCATGTTATTGAATATTGGAGTGCTACGACAAGACAGCATTTCATAATTCAACCCTAAACCCTAAACCCTTTATAATTCCTTCTTCTTCTTCGCCAGGATCCTGAGATGGCAGACATGGTCACTCAGAACACGCAGATGCTGAGGAAGCGGCTCGGACATGGAGTCTAGCATGTGGGTTCTCGAAGGTTTAGGGTTTAGGGCCACTGCAAAAGGGGCATTGTGCTATAGCGGATTTGGATCTTAGGGTTTGGGGTTTAGGGCCACTATTGGGAGTGGATTGGCGATCTGTATCAACGCTCCTTGCGCCCACCGAAGCTTATCGCACCAAGCCTTCCTTATGAGTGGTGGGTCACTCTAGCAAATGTTCTGCGTCATTGCATGCATCATTGACTTCATGGCCAACACTCACATGCAATTGCAGGCGCTCGTACTTGCTGCGCCGAATACGCGTTGCTTACAGGAAGTCGCATGCGTGACGTGATGTCTCGGAAGGCAGAAGGGCTACATCTTGTGGAACGCGTAAGACCCGCCAAGTAAGGACCAGTGGGCGGGACTGCGTTTCCATAGCAGTAGCCAAGTTCACACAATCGTCACAGAGCCGAGTTTCCGAACCCATCCCAGGCTTCTGCCAAAACCCAAACTCCTCCACCAATGTCTCCGAACCTTGAGTCATCATTACAAAGTGACCCTGAAACATTAGGGTCCGCATCCCTTATAACAACCCTT